TCCCTCTGCCTTTTCTAAATATTTTAAAATAATGGGAAGTTTGAGGCATGGTTATGCATTTTTGAAGGACATAGAAAGAAGGTTTAAAGGCTAATGTAAAAGAGTGAAAGTTTTTGTGAAGGTTGTACATGTGATGAGAAGGGGAACAAGAAAGCATTGAAAGGAAGAGAAAGCCAGCAGCAAGGAAGGATGTCCTGGCAGGTTAGCTGGAGAGGCAAGGAGGGAGACTTAGACTCCAAGGTGTTTTTTTTGTTTTGTTTTGTTTTTTGTTTTTTTTTTAACTTAGAGGAAGAGAACTGACAGGACCGGGGCTCCTTTTCATTAAGCCCTCACAGGTAACCTCACAAGTGAGAGGCAAACCTATTCATTTCCTGGTGAGCACAGGGGCAGTTTACTCAGTCTTGACAGAGCTGATGGGACCTCTAGGAAGATATCAGTCCAGGGAGCCACCAGACAAACTGACTGTTTTCCTTGGACATCAAGGAGGACTGTAAACCTCAGAAGGAACATGTACTGAGGGAACACAACTGCTGAATTGGACCAAAGTGGAACAATGGGCCTTTGGAGAGCTAAAGAAGGCTCTCGTCTCAGCACCTGCCCTAGCCTTGCCAGATGTCACAAAGCCTGGCTTCCACCTCTACGTGAGTGAGGTAAGGGGCATTGCCAAAGGGTTCTCACTCAGACTCTAGGTTCCTGGAAGAGACCTGTTGCCTATCTGACCCTGTGGCAGCAGGGTGGCCAGTGTGCCTCTGGGCAGTGGCCACCACAGCATTGCTGGTGAAGGAGGCAGATAAGCAGACTCTGGGCCAGGAGCTAGCCCTAACAACACCCCCTGCCATTGAGGCCCTCCTTTGAGGTGCTCCAGAGAGATGGATGTTGAACACCAGAATCACCCAGTGCCAAGCTCTTCTCCTGGACCAGTCCTGCATCCAGTTCCAAAAGACACTGGCCATCGACCCTGCCAGTCTGCTTCCAGATGATCCAAAGGAACCTATTCATGACTGCATAGAGGTAATAGACTTAGTACTGACAGATGTCCTGCCATCATCACCAGATGAGGTACTGTACACTGATGGGAGCAGTTATGTTTGGGATGGGATCTGATATACAGGGGCAGCAGTAGTCACCCTAGACCACACCATTTGGGCACAGTTCCTGAACTTTTGGCCTTAATCCAGGCCCTTCAATGGGGACACAGTGCCATCCCCCAGGAAAGAGGGTTACCAACTTCAGCCAGAAAGAACATTAAAAATAAGGAAGATATTTTAGCTTATTTGAGGCCATCTGACTCCCAAAAGCAGTTGCAATAGTGCACTGCACAGGACATCAGAAATGGGAGACAACTGAAGCCAAAGGAAATAGAGCCACAGACCAAACTGCTAAGGAAGATGCCAAAAAACCAGTGGGGCCTTTACAAGTCTTAGTTACCCTGCTGGACCCCAACCTAAACCAAACCAGAGGGGAAATTGGCTGAACAGAAGCAAGCCATCAAAGGACCAGATGGTTGGTGGACCCTACCAGATGACAGGCTGTTGGTCCCAGAGGCTTTAGGTCAGACGTTAGTTGCCCAGTTACACCAGGTTACCCACTTAGGTGTCACAAAGACTTCTGAACTTCTATGAGGCAGATACTACCAAGCTTAGATAAGGAGATAATTAAAAGCCTAGTTGCTAGAAGTACTGTCTGTATACAGGTAAATGCAGAGATAGGAGGGTGCCCCTGGGAATTCAGGCCCCAGAAAAATTCCCCAGGGGAGCATTGAGAGATTCATTTCGCAAAGATTAAGCCATCAGCATTGAGGTACAAGTACATACTAGTTTTTATAGACACCTTCTCAGGTTAGGTCGAAGCATACCCCACTAGGACAGAAAGTGCTTCTGTCAAGAAATCACTCCAGGAGATTATCCCTAGATTCAAGCTGCCAGTAGTCATAGGATCAGATAACAGCCAGCCTTTGTAGCAAGGTATCTCAAAGTATAACTCAAGCCTTAGGACAGGCATGAGCAAGACTCTAAAAAGTTTAATTAAATTTGTCCTAGAAACCGGTGAAAATTGGAGCAACCCCCTGCCCTTTGCCCTCTTATGGGCCAGGTGTATCCTCTACCAGGAGAGGTCCCCCCTCCCCTTTTTGAGATCATGTATGGTATAATAGACCTCCCTCCATCCTTCCCAGGGTCAGGGAGAAACTGAAAGCTAGAATTCATAACCATTCCCTTGCTCAAGTCCTTACAGGCTCTGCAATTTACCCAGAAGCCATGCATAAGCTTGTTCCAGATGCACTGCCAGTGCCCCCCGTGGACCCTGTACACCCCTTCCAGCCCGGAGACTCTGTGTGGGTAAAGAAGTTCACTGTCCAAGGACTCACCCCAACCTGAAAGGGACGCTAACACTGTTATCCTGAGCACACCCACAGCTGTTGAAGTAGATGGCACCCAAACCAGGGCTACACCACTCCCAGCTCCTGCACAGAAAACAACCTGGATCCTGGCAACCAGCAGCCTCACCCATGAGATTCCTAGTCTGGGCTCCACACAGGCCAGGAGGAGACTTGATGCCTGCAGGAGGGGAATTGGACTTCAGTGAGGACAGTACTAATGGGAACTGTGATACTAGAGGTTTTGGTAACTGTAAGAACACTTTTGCTAGCCAGTGAGAAAGTCCAGGGCTAAGTAAGACTAAATGTGCTATGAGACTGGAAAACAAAAACAGAATAGAAAATGCCCTTAAATTAAGTAGGATGAGTCAATGATTTGACTCATGCACATAATACCAGTGGGGAATGAAATATAGTGGCAACCATACTTTGGTAAAAACTGCTGTTTGAATTTTAACACTTCTAGTTTGATTCCTGCATCTGATTAAAACACAGGGTACTTACCTCAGCTTCCAGGTGGAGACCTGGAGGCTAAGGCAATTTTCCCTTGCTTGGGACCAGGACCACAGGAGATTGATTCCCACTGACTCAGTAACTTCAAGGATAGAAACTGTAGATAACCTTTAGAGACTAACCACTGAGCTCTGCTTCTGTGTTATCAGCTATCGCAAGATAGGGCCACATTCCAATATCCAGCAGGATGTGACTGGGAACCAACCTTGTGGGCTGTCCCCAGTCTTTAGAATTTAGTCTTTAAGATTTAGGAACAAAGGAAAATTCTTGCAGTTTAGGCCTTTAAAAAGACTTGCCTACACCTGGAACAGTGCAGTCGTGTGGAGTCCACCTGTGTGTGGTGCTCTCGCGGCTGTCCTGGCCAGTTTTTCAATAAATCCTTGCCTGCTTTTTTTAATTAATCATCAGCCTCCGGTGGTCTTATTTTGAACCCAGGATTGGACCCCATAACATATTTCACAACCCAAAACACTTTTTTTAAGTTTCTAAAAGATAAGTGGATGGTCACTGAACATGGATACAAAATGCATCTACACTAAAAAGAGTTCCTTAAATGTTTTTAAATTTTTTTTTCTTATTATAAAAATAATACAGGATCTTGGGTAGAAATTTAAAAAGAATAGTATAAAGTAAAAGAAACAACATATTTCCACAATCCAAGGTTAACCATTGTGAACATTTCACATTATTTCCTTTGGTCTTTTATAAATTTATATATTCAAATATCATTTTGAGGTGATACTATTTATTTATTTATTTATTTATTTATTTATTTTAATATATTTGTATTGACTTGAGAGAGGAAAAGGGAAAGATAGATAATAATATGGATGAGCCAAAACTGGTATGGCTCAATGGATAGAGCGTAGACCTGTCAACTGAAAGGTCCCAGGTTCGATTCCGGTTAAGGGCATGTACTTGGTTGCGGGCACATCTCCAGTAGGGGTTGTGCAAAAGGCAGCTGATCAAAGATTCTCTCTCATGGATGTTTCTAATTCTCTATCCCTCTATCTTCCTCTCTGTAAAAAAAAACAATAAAACATATTTTAAAATAATAATTATAATAATATGGATGAGAAGGAATCATTGATCAGCTTCATTCTAAAAGCCCCCTACTGGGGATGGACCCACAGCCAGGGCATGCACCCTGAAGGGGACTCTATGAATGACCTCCTGGTTCCTAGATCAATGCTCAACACTGAGCATGCCTCCAGGACAAGATACTACTATTTATTACGTGTGTATCCTGATTTGTTTTCTTTTGGTTGTGGTGCATGCATTCCATATGTTTATAACCATTTTTTTCCGATTCAGTAAGACACTTTTTATTTTTCCCAGCTTTATTGAGAAATAATTGATATACAGTGTTGATAGCACAATGGTTTGATTTACAAAATTGTGAAATGATAACCACATTGGGTTTAGCTAATATCCATCGAAGATGTGACAAACCAACATTGAAATCTCTAATGTAATTTGAGTTAGTTTTTTTTTTTTTCAAAGGCAAACCTTACTGTTGCAAAATGTGCTGTTTGCAAAATGAGCTTATACTTGGAAATAAGTGCAGAGTGTGGTCGGTCTGCAGGCTGGGACTCTACAGCCCTGGCCTTTTGCCCTTGACCCTGTGCCTGTTCACATGCTGTTCCTTTCTCCTTCCAGATTTCACATGAGGCTGGGGATGGATGTGCTGCCCCTACTGGGCAGGCTCCACAGTCTGCCTTCCCACCACTGGGTGGCAGAGGTGAGAGCGCACTGTGTCAGGCTGCGGAGCATATGAAGTTCAGACCTCACTTCTGTGTCAGCAGCTCTGGGGGTGACCTCAGCACCAGCACACGCAGAGTCTGTGCAGGCCTCTGGGGTGTGCTCTGTGCAGACCCTGCTCACCCACAGCTCCTCTCCCTCTGATTCTCAGCCACCTTCCTGGTCCTTCTGCTAGGAGCTCTCAGAACTTAGACTCCTATCCCCCCATGAGCTGTGTTGAAGCTTCATATAACAGGATGGTTGCCAGGGAAAACTGGAAAGAAAAAGAAAAAAAAAAAATAGCAGGAATCCCCCTAATATTTTAGAGTCTAGAGCCCCATTTTCCCATGTCCTAACCAGAGATGGTTTACTTCTCAGTATTTGAGAGGCTAATGCCCAGGCCATGGCTTTAGAGCCAGGCCAGGAGAGAAGAGGGAAGGGTCCAGGGCAGCCCCCACTGTGGCTTCCACAGGCCCCTGGCCCAGTCCCCTCTGAGTCATTCATGTCCTGCTCACAGAGCAGTGCTAAGACTCACTGCCTTCCAGACGAATCAGCTCACCACCGCTCTGGTCACTTGCCAGGTTCTCACTTCTATCCCCGTCTCCCCACTGCTATTTCTCTCTGGAGTCCGAGTTACTCTTCTGTCCTGAAACCGTATTGTCATCATCGGGTGGACAGCTGGCCATTGACCTGCTCCATGTCGGTGGCTCCAAAATGATGTGTTCTACTCCTTTGAGAAGAAGAAATGGAAGACAATGGGTCTAGACAGCAAGTAGAAATACATGGGGAGGGGTTTCTTTTCTCTAAGTACTTTGAAGTGCTATGTGCATTGGCATGAGGTACTTTTATTTTATTGTTCTCTCTGGATGTTCTTCCTGAAGGAGGTGACTGCATTGTCTGGCTGCTCAGGTACAGAAACAAGAGGGTGAGTGTGCTGTCCTATGTGCCAAGTTGCAAGGTGTTTGTGGTCTGCGTTTCTGACTCACCATGGGAGTCAGGGCTGGCCAGAGGCAAGGACAGCCATGAGTGGCTGTTCCCAGGGCTTCCTGACAGCACTCCTCTGTCCGACCTCTACCCTGTGGTCTGTGCTCATTGCCAGCTGAATCCACAGGCCAGAGGAGGCTGGAGCCTGAGTCACTGTGTGGAGAGGACAAGCTTTGGTGGCTCCCTGGCCCACGTCACGGTACACAGGGAGCAAGATTTTACTGGGTTCAGACACTGAAATATCCTTCATGACAGCCCACATTATTGCCCTAATGTCTCAGTCTTTGACGAACAATTAGACCCTCACTGACTGGACCACAGTGTAAAGGGTCAGACCTTTGATGAGCGATGCTCTGTCTCTCATCTTTGGTTAACCCCCTAAAAATGGGGATGTGTTGATTTCACTCACCATCATTACTTTTTTTCGTCTTCCAGTAAAGTTGACAGATAAATTGGAGCCATCTCTGGAAGGAGAGAGCATATGAAGACAAGGTATTATTATTATTGCCTTAATTTGAGCACCATGCTGCCGAGTACGCACAGAAAAATTGTTTTTTCTCTGACCTTTAACAGAGCATAAGTGTCGTGTCTGCAGTTGCGATCTGTAGGTGATTACAAAGCACGTTCTTCCAATGACAACACTGCCTTCCTTCATCCTTGTCCTTGGGTAGCGTCTCTCCTGGGCACTGAGCCTAAGACCCAACCAAGAAACCAAGAAATGAATCTGCTCTGTGGACAGAACCCTGGCCCAGCGTTCCTGGAATGGCACAACACGCCCATCCTTGTCACTTGGGGGATGTGCTTAATGAAGCAGAGGGTCACTGAGGGAGGACTGTGCTGCCCATGTTGTGTTTGTGAGACGGTTAAAAGGTTTGGGAGCTCCTTTAAGAAACCATGTGGTACAGTGAAGGAGCTGTTCTCACTAGTGATCGCATAAGAAGTGGCTGAGACACAGCAGCTTATTAAAGGCTGAGGAAAGCCTGTGATGGGATGAGAATGTAGCTGTGGAAGTCACTGGTCTGGTGGTTGACTCACAACCCCACTGACTCCCAGTTCCCCTCAGCAATTCTTTATACTCAGCTCGGACCCCAACTGGACTTGCTGGGCCCGAATCTCTGAGACAAGAAAACCAAATCTTGGTCACCCCTTTTATCCTTTAACCTTTTAAAAAAAAATGTAATTGTGGATTCACATTATTTGTAAGAGATAATGCAGATGTGGCCCAGCTAATCTAACCCGGTTTTCCTCAATAATATCTTATAAAAAGCTCACAACCAGGTTATTGGCTTTGACCCAACCATCCAGTAAGGACAAGCTTCTTGATTCCCTTTGTGCACATTTTCTCCTGTGAGTATTGAGTCCTGTGCTGTTTGATCACGTGCATTCGCCATGCGGTCCAGATAGGGAACAGCTCTCTACCTGATTCTCAACACCAAGGAAAGTGCCTTCTATTCTTGTTTTTGTTGGTATATTTTTATCACAGAAAAATATACACAATGAAATTTAACAGCTTAACTGTTTTTCAATGCGCAGTTCAGTGGTGTTAAGTACATTCATATTGTGGTGCTGCTGTAACCACAATCATCTCCATCACTGTTCTCATCTTCTCCAACTGCAGCTCTGGCCCCACTAAACAACAACACTGCATCCATCCCACCTCTGGTACCCTCCATCTTACCTGTCTCTGTGACTGACGGGTCCAGGGACCTCATGTGAACGGGGTCACACAGTATTTGTCTCTGTGACTGGCTTCTTTCACTGAGTCATGTCTTCAGGGTGCATCCAGGTTGTAGCATGTGTCACAATGTGCTATTTTTCTAAATTGAATTTATTGCGGAGAGATTGGTAACGACATTATATAGCTCTCAGGTAAACAGGTCTATAATATACATCATCTGTATGTTGAACTGTGTGTCTCACTGCCCTTGCCCCTCCCCCCAAGTCAGGTCTCCTTCCACCACAATTTATCCTTTCTAAACCCTCTTCTACACACAGAATCACCAAACTGCTGTCTGTGTCTTTGAATTCTTTTCTTTGCTTAACACCTTCGCCTTTTTCACCTAGTCCCCCAACCTCCCTCTCCTCTGACAACTGTCAGTCTGTTCTCTATATCGATGATCCTGTTTCTACTTTGATATAGTTTAATTTGTTCATTAGATTCCACATATAAGTGAAGCCATAAGGAACTTTTGTATTTCTATGACTGGCTTACTTCCCATCACTGAGCATAATACTCACCAGCTCCATCCGTGCTGTTCCAAAAGGAAAGATTTCCTTTCTGGGTGTGTGGGTGAGTAGTATTCCGTTGTGTATGATGTAGCACAGCTTTGTCTCCGCTTATCTGCTGCTGGGCACTTGGGCTGCTGTAAAATCTTGGCTATTGTAAATAATGCTGCAATGAACAAAGGCGTGCATATATCCTTTCAGATCACTGCTTCAGATTTCTGCAGATATATTCTCAGAAGGGAAAATGCTAGGTCGTTTTGATTTTTAATTGTTGAGGAAACTTCATACTGCTTCCCACCTTCATACTGCTTTCCACAGTGGTTGCACCAATCTGCATTCCACGTGGGTTCCCTTTTCTCCACATCCTCACCAGCACTTGATGTTTATTGATTAACTGATGATAGACATTCTGACTGTGATGTTCATTTCTATTTCTGTAATGATTAGTGATGCTCAACATCTTTTTGTTTGTGTAATGGTCATATGCAGGTCCTCATTGCAGAAGTATCTATTTAGGTACTTTGCCTATTTTTAAATTGGATTGTTTAATTTTTTATAATGTTGAGTTTTATAAGTTCTTTCTGAATTTTGGATATTAAGCCAGCCGTTACCAGCTGTATCATTAGGAAATATGTTCTCCCATTCAGTGGGTTGTCTTTTCATTTTGTTGATGTTTCCTTTGCTGTGCTAAACACTTGTTTGATGTAGTCCCATTTGTGTAGTTTTTCTTTTGCTTCTCTTGTCCAAATAGATATATCAGAATAAAAAATATTGCTATGAGTATTGCCTTGATTTTCTTCTAGAATTTTTATGGTTCAATTTTTACATTCAAGTCTTTAATCCATTCTGGCTTTACTCTTCTATAAGGTATAAGAAGGTAGTCTGCTTCCATTTATTTTTGTACATATCTTTCCAATTTTCCCAATAACATTTATTGAATGGACTATCTTTAGCCCATTGTATGTTCTTGTGTCCTCTATCAAATATTGAACATAAATGCTTTGGTTTATTTTTGTTCTTTTTCTGTCCAATGACCTATATGTGTGTTTTATGCCAGTACCATGCTATATTTATTACTCTGGTCTTGTAATATAGTTTGATATCAGGCAGCATGATTCCTCCAACTTTGTTCTTCTTTCTCAAGATCACTGTGGCTTCTGGTTTGATTTTGTTTGATTTATGTGAGTTTGTGTGTGTGTGTGTGTGTGTTGTTGTTGTTTTTTTTCTCTTTTTTTTTTTCTTCTATACACATTTTGGTGATATTTGTTGTAGCTTTCTGAAATACACCATTGAACATTTTAATATTGTTATTTCCTTATCTGTGAACACAATATATGCTTTTATTTGTATCTTTTTTGGCTCCTTCCTTTTTCTTTCTTTCCTTTTTTCTTTCTCTTTCTTTTTTTCCTTTTTTCCCCCTTTTCTTCCTTTCTTTTTTATTTTTTTATTTATTTATTTCCTTCCCTTCCTTCTTTTTTACCTTCCTTTCTTTCTTTGTTTTTGTATGTGTGAATCCTCATCATAGGATATTGTTTCCTTTGCTTTTTGAGAAAATGTGGGAGGGAGACAGTGAGTAGAGAGGGAAGGAAGGAGGATGGAAGGGAGGAAAGGAGGGAGGGAAGTGAGAAATAGAAAGAAAGAGAGAGAGAGCTAGAGCCAATGATATGAGAAACATGATTCATTGCTTCCTGCACTCACAGTGGATTTATGGATTTTAGCAGAGTCATCCCTCCATTTCCATCCCGAGAGAACTACAGCTCTCTGCACCTTCCCACCACAGACACGCTCACTGGCTTCCAGGCTGCACTGTTCTGCCTTCTTTCCTGAAGGCTGGGTGAGCCAGGCTGGCTGGAGTGTAGGGAAGGGAGGATAGAAGTCTCTTTGGTGGGTTGAAATGCTACTAGGACCTTTACGGTGACACCAGGAATCAAAACTGTAATCCAGGTATGTACTCTTGACCGGAAATGGAACCTGTGACCATTTGACTCTCTAACCATTTGGCAAAACTGATCAGGGTTTCAATTTCTTTTCTTCAGTGTCTTTTAATTTTTTGAGTACTGGTCTTTTACATCCTTAGTTAAATGTAATTTTAGGTATATGTTTTTATTCAAATGTGAATGAGTTTTTTTCTTAGTTTCCTTTTTCAGAGGTCATTATTGGAGTATGAAAATGCAGCTGATTTCTGGATATTTATTTTCTGTCTTGCTATGTTCTGAATTCATTTATCAGTCCTACAGTTGGGTGTTTTTTTGTTTATTTTTATTTTTATTTTTTTATGGAATCATTTGGGTTCTTTGTATACATTATGTCATCTCCAAATGATGACAGTCATACTTCTTCCTTTCCAATTCAAATGCTTTTCATTTCTTCTAATTGCAGTGGCTAGGACTTCCAGCACTATGTTGAGCCCTTATGGTGGCAGCAGACATCTCTGACTTGCTCCTGATCTGAAGAAAAACACTTTTACCTTTTGTCCATGGAGGATGCGATAGCTTTGTCCTACATGATCATCATGCTGAGCTGCGTTCCTCTATTCACACTTTGCTGAGGGTTGTTAGAATGAATGGGTGCTGAGTTTTGTTGAATTCTCTTGATGCATCTATTGTTATAAATGTGTAATTTTATTCTTTATTTTGTTTATGTGGTATCATGTCCTTTATGTGCAGATACTGTACCAAGCTTACAAGCCCAGAATAAATCCCACTTTTTAATGTGTTACTGGGTCCAGTTGTCCAATATTTTGTTGAGGATTTTCGCATCAGGGATATTGGCTTATAATTTCTTTTCTTTCTAATGTCTATTCTGGTTTTGGAATTAACATAATGCTGGACTCATTAAGTCCCGTCTTTTAATTTTTGATTAAAAGCCCTGTCTTTTAATTTTTGTCTTTTTAATTGTGATTTGTTTTGGCCTTTTTGGGTTCATCTCATTTTGGACTCAGCTTCCTGGACTTGTGTGTCTTTTCCTTCACCAGGGTAGAGAAGTGTTCAGTCATTATTTCCTTTAATAGGCTGCAGTCCCTTAATCTTTCTCCTTCTCCTACTCCTTTAATGTGAATGTTGTCCCAAAAGTCCCTCATTTAAAATAAAATTTTTTTTGCTACTTTTGTCTTCTACAACTTTGTCTTCCAAATCACTAATTTGATTCTCTGCCTCATCCAACTATTTATTTCCTCTAGTGTATTCTTCATTTCAGAGATTGTAGTCTACTTCTGACAGGATCTTTTATGTTGCTTAATTGTGTGTTGGTTTATTTATTTATTTATTTATTTATTTATTTATTTAATGCTTACTATCAGTTTTCCAGGTCCCAATGATTTCATTTATTCTGCAACTAACTGCTATTAACATCCTTAAAACCATTTTTAAAAAGATCTTGCATCGATATATTGCTTGCCTTCACTTCATTGAGCATTTTTTCTGTGTGTATTTACTGTTGTTGAAATCGGGGCATGTGTCTTTGTCTTCACTTTTTGGGTGCCTCTATGTGTTTGTTTCTGTGTATGAGAATCCACGTCTGGGTAGTGTGGCTTTGTGTAGCAGGTGTCCCATGGAATCCAGTGGCAGAGTCTTCTTGATCACCTGAGCTGAGTGCCCCAGGGACGTCCCCTATGTGTGATATGTGAACCTTCCTGTGGTGGTTGATGCTTGATTACCATTGGCCCATGCATGTATTGAGTCGATGCTCAGGCAATTTGGCTGTGACCATAGTGGACCCTGCCTACAGTGTATGAGCTGCTGACAGGTGTTGACCACGTGGAGCACAATTCACCTCAGCAGGGTCTGGTGCTTCCTTAGATGCCTCTTTGGATATGGTGCTTGTGAGGCTGGCCCCTGGGAGTGTTGGTCCTTGGGCATCCTGGGAGGGACTCTGGTGCTGACCAATATCAGATGCTTTATGTGACTGGCCCAGGACAACCTATTTGGATCTACAAAGCAAGTCACATTTTGTGACAGCCACTGCTGAGGCTGAGTGAGCTCAGTAAGTTCCAAGCAGGGCACCCAAGCTGGCTTTTACTAGCACTGAGCCCTGGTACAGGTCAGCAAAAGTCCCAGAGCACTCTGTGGTCTGCCTGTCTGTCTGCCTCCATCTGCTGGGTACCTGTGAGCCTCAGTCAATGACAGAGCCTCTGTGAGTACTCAAGTTGCAGGAGGACAGTTCTCAGGAGTCCCCAGGTTGAACTGAGTGGTGTTCACCAGATTGATGCAGGTTCAAACTCAGTGTCAGTGTTGTGTCTGAGGCGACTCAGCAGAAGTCCCAGGGTACACCAGTCCAGCTGCCACGCGCTGGGTCCTCACACATCTTTGAGCAGTGTACAGAAGTTGCACACCTGGCATTCTTTGTAGGAGGAGAACGATAAAATCAAAAGAGTCTGCTTCCCAGGATTTAAGATGTTTTGGGTCTGTAATCTGAGATCAGCTGTGTGAGCCTCAGAGCTTTGCAGAGGGTCTGTGGATTCTCAAAGGCCAGAGAGGTGCTTCCTGTTGTGGATGATCCTGGGTCCCCTGGGCTGAGAGGGAGAGCATGGCGGGATCATGCATGTGTGATCCCATCATCATGTAGTGAAAAGCAGAGTCCCCTCATTCTTGGTGGATTTTAGCAGAGTCATCCCTCCATTTCCATCCAGAGAGAACTGCAGCTCTCTGCACCTTCCCACCACAGGCACGCTCACTGGCTTCCAGGCTGCACTGTTCTGCCTTCTTTCCTGAAGGCTGGGTGAGCCAGGCTGGCTGGAGTGTAGGGAAGGGAGGATAGAGGTCCCTTTGGTGGGTTGAAATGCTACTAGGACCTTTACGGCTTAAATTTACTTTTTCTGTGTCTGCTCCCACTCTAGACCTAAGCAGCCAAAGTAGTGCTTAGCTCGCTCTCACGGAAGCACAGTTCTGCCTTGCACCAGTGCCCCATGTCACCAGATCAGTGCAGGGAGCAACTGGAGGAAGAAGACAGGGCATTCCTCTCCCAGCAGTACAACACCTTCACAGGCATGATGCCGCCTGGAGAGCTACCACTGCTGGAGTGAGCGCTGAAGGCTTTTAGGCACAGAGCAAAATGATCTCATATCTTTTCAAGATCACTCTGATTTGCACTTTTATTTTACTTAAAATTGTTTTACTAATTTAATTTTTT